CTTGCAGCCGAATGCTGTTGATAGCCAAGCTGCATTTGCTGACTAGGGTAGCCCTAGCCTAAAATAAAAATAAAACAAAACTTTTTTTCTCTCTCTTTTTTTTGGTGGGAAGCAAGTAAACCACACACTGAGGCATATTCTTAGTTTTGAGTTCCTGGCCTTAGCTTGGCTTGTTTCTAGCCCTTCTCCCTCTGAGCTTTTACCTTTCTTACTTACTTAACTCTATGGCTGGCTGGGTGGATGTTTTCCTCTCCTTGTTCTCTTGCTGCTTCTCTACTAAATAAATATATATTCCATAGAGATGGCCCTTAGCTTGTGCTGGGGTTGCCCTTTGCTTACTTATTTTTTCCAGAACTCATGAAGCTCTAACCAAAGGGCACCTGGCGCCCCTGGGTCAGCTGGTCAGCCACAGGCTACCTTGATTTATCTGACACAAAACTCATTTTTGTTTTTCTGAGACAGGGTCTCATGATGTAACTCTGATTGACTTGGAGCTTTCTATATAGACCAGGCTGGTCTCAAAAATCACAGGGATCTAACTCTCTCTGCCTCTGCAGTGATGGGATTAAAGGTGTACACCACCAAAAATCCACAACCAGCTTGATGCAGACATTTTTATTTCTCTTTCCAAGTAATAAATACTCACTGTAGTAAAAAAAAAAAAAAAAAAAAAAGACAGATAAGCAGAAAGGAAAACAAAGGAATCACAAAGGAATCGCCTGAATTCCAGCAGAGATAATCCTTAGTGCACAGTTTATGATGCTTTCTTACTGCAGTTTGCACTCGTGTATCAGAACATTTGACATGCATAATCATGCATTGATATTGTCATGTATGTTGTTTTAAAAAAAATGGCAGAATGAGTCACGCCATCATTAGACAGGGCTCACATGGAGTCTTTTGGGGAAGGGGATGGGAAAGGGGGGAGGGGAGGAAGATCGGCTCTGGGGGCTTGAGCATTGGGAGAGAAAGAGAGGAAGGGGGAGAAACAGGAGAGGGCAAAAGCTAGGTGGTGTGGGCAAGGCCTGCCTTTTATGAGGGAATGCAGTGAGTGTGCACAGGTGATGCTCTCAGTGGCTGCAGCTGAGGGTGCATCCTGTCAGGACCCCAAGGGCAGGCCAGTACAGATTAAACTTTCTATTTTCAATGGTTTTTGTTTTTTGAGACAGGGTCTCACTATGCTCAGTTGGCATGCTTGTCCAATGTCTATTTTCAGACGGTGAGGCGTTAGTTAGTGAAATCCTATCACACACGTTGGAATACACCTCTCAGCTCAGCTCACATGAATGGGAAATGGGTATGTCATGGTTAGCTGTACTGTCAACTTCCAGAAACTGAAGAGCCTCACTGTGGGCCTCCAATAGCTAAGGAATAGCGTATGTTGGAAACAAATTCATGAAATGCAACCAGTAGCAGCAGAGGCAGGTGTTTTAAACGGCCAGTGAGTGGCCAGATATTTACTCACTAGTTTATTTTCATTGGGAGTTCTTTTTCTTAACATTAATTTTATTTTGTATGGGGATGAAGAGGCAAGTGGACGGTGTTGGATCTCTGGAGGCGGACATGGATGTCGGAGACTGAACTCCTGTCCTATGCAAAGACAGCAGATGCCCCTACAGGCAAGCCAGTCCTCCAGCCTCCATTGTCCCTTTCCTAGTGAGCTTCTTCTAGTCTATGTCTAACTTAGAAGGAATGGTTTTTTTTTTTTTTTTCACACCTCTCCCTGGCGGCTGCCAGCCTTCTTACCTAATCTGTACCATGTTTCCCTCTAAATACTAATAAAATTGTCTTGAGTTCCTTTCTGAATCCTTCTACTAATGAGACTAGGAACACTGCAAGAGTTACCTCAGTTTCCTGGGTAATTTCCAAGGTCCCATTCCACTGCTACGGGCCATGTCTGTATCACTGCTGAGTTCAGAATGACCTGGTGTCAGGGCTCAGCCACACGCCTCCCTGCCCACAGCCTCTCCCTACGCACCCACTTGGCTCCTGAAGGCTACCTAGGTTCCCAGACAGAACATTCCTTTCCCCGAAGGAGGCATGCACAACCCACACTCCACTAGACCAGTGTATCTTCTGTGTGTGAAGCTTCTGTCCCTGCCTGCTCGATAGCAGCTGGGCGATACAGGCCAGAGCTGAGTCTGCAGTCCTGTCCCTGACCCAGCAAGGCTGACAGGGACTTGTCCATGAAGGGGTGCAGAATATGAACTAAGCTGTCACAGAAAACACAAGCTCCCCAGCTCACCTGGTGGACTTAACGGTGTGAACACAGTGAAAGGCTCAGTGTCTACCAGGACTCATTCACTAAATACACAGAGACAAGTCTGGTGCACCCCTGGCATGGTCAGGAGCCTGGTTCTGTGCCTTGAGCACACCCCAAGGTCCTTGGGCTCAGAGGGAACGTCTTCAGGCATGAGCCACACCATGCCTGCACACTTTCCTCATGCTGCATCATCACATCCTCATACCAGGGTCACATCTTTTTTTTTTTTTTTTTTTTTTTTTTTGGCCTGGCTTTTCCAGACAGTTTTTCTGTGTAGCCCTGGCGGTCCTGGAACTCACTCTGTGAACCAGGCTGGCCTCGAACTCGCAGAGATCCAGTTGTCTGTGCCTCCTGAGTGCTGGGATTAGAGGTAGGCACCACCACCACCTAGCCCATCATTTTAACCCAAGCTAAACAGACCAGTGGTTTCCAAGGAATCAATGGTCCAGACAGAGCACCTGCCAGGAAGGTCTGATCCCCAAGTGCAGGCTGAGGGAAACCCAGTGACAATCTGTGGGCCTGAGGAAGCTTGCTAAATGTGTACCTCCTGTCACTATCCAAGGTCCTTTTTGGAACTGAGAATTTAATTCACTGTCAATGAATGATTACTACAGAGAAGGCAACATATTGCCTGCCTTAATAGTGAGTTGTGGGTGCTGATTTGGCACTACAGGGCTCTGAAGGACTCTCTCCTGGGACCTTCTCCCCATGACCAGCCACCCCACTAATCCACAAAAGCTCATCCTGAACTAAGTTCCTGTTTTAAAGGAAAAGTTGTAGAAAATGCTCCAAATGTGGAACCGTGGGAATCACATCATAACCTAGTTTGCAGGAAGAGGAACCTTCCAGCTTTCAAGGAATTGAAAAGGAAGATGGACATAACATCACTTTCCAACACATAGGCCAAAAATGCAAACAACAGGTTTGGTGAAACAATCAAATGGCTATTTATTCACTCAGAAAACATACACTGGCCATCACTAACGTGCCCTTATGACCAACCTTAATGGACAGCCATCATCATCACACACACACACACACACACACTGATGCTTCCCCTTAGAAAATGCAGGGCTGCTTGCATCTCACTTTCCACCCTTTTAAAATGAAAATGGATAGATACGTCATGCTCATTGAGAACCTATAATGGTGTCTAGTACAAGATGGCACGTCTGATCCAAGGCCACTGGTGCCAAGCCCCAGTGTGCACAGCTTAGCCACCCTCATTTCCTCCCTTGACCCTGGCTGCAATGCCTGCCTGGTGCACACAGACACAACTCATCAGGCAACCCATTCTTCTGCCTGCAAATGCACCCTTGGTCTGTGCCCAGCACTGTATGCCAATTGCTGAGGTCAGTGGATGTTTGTCCTTTGCTTCCAATCAAAGGCAGCCTGTCCACCAAGGCTGCTGAAACTCGGTGAACACAGCCTCGGGTTTCCTAGGTACAAAGCCTCACTACTGGCCCTAGTAGGGTTGCAATGTTAGACAATATTCATCTCAGCTGTCCACAGGCTGACAGACCCTCCGGACTTTGTTTTACCACTCCAGTGAGTGGGGGGCATGAGGAAAACACAGGTCCCGTTGTTCTCTTCAAAGTGGGACTCTGGCTCTAAGCAGCTGCAGCTGTTTGCAGCTCCCATCCTGGAGGAGTTACAGCAGGAGGCTGCCTCTGGCAGAGGAGCACAGAATGTTGGCGGCAGGGGGTTGGGGTGTCACAGCAGAGGAAGGACCACCCCCATGAGGGCCTTCCAGGGGAGGAAAGCGGAATACATGGCTGGATGTTGGGGTAAACCTGAAGGGCACGGAGGGGCAGCCAAGTCGAATTGGCTTGGGTTAAGTTTGTTTCAGTAAAATTACTTGTAGATAATAAGACACGGGACCCAGAGAGAGAAAGGCAATTGTTTAAAACCGTGGATACAAAGAAACAAGCCATGCCAGAAAAGCGTTTTCCTAAATTTGTTGGCTTTGACCAAAGACAGCCAAAAGGCGAGGGGAGGGTTAGAGCCTCTCTCTGAGCCCCATAACCTAGCCGGCCTTGCCAAGGCCATGTCTGTGTCCCCTGCCTGTTGGGCCCTGGGGGCAGTATGACCCCACTCCTACCTTCTATAGGCCCAAGTTACCAGTTCACTGTGAACAAGGCAGAAAGCACCCTATACCAAATATTTACCCCGATGTCTTGAGAACAACTTTAAAAAAGAACGGCTGAATGTAGGAGGCTGGCTGGGAGGAGGTTGCTGCAGGGGGCAGCTAGGGAGGACAGATGGTGGCTGAAACTCGAGGGATAAGAGTGGGTGGGGCCTACAGAGTAGAGCCCGGAGGCCTGGGGTGGGGGGCTATGCGGGGACACACAGGATGGCAAGGGACACAGGAGGCACCGGGGCACACGGGCATGTGCTCAGGCCCACAGCCCGCGGCAGGGAGCGTGAGGGACCGCTGACCTGGCCACTCCGGTAGCCACCGCATCGCTCGCCTGGGACCCTGGGAGGGCAGAGCCTGTGCGCAGGCGCGCGCGCGCGCTCCCGCGGCTGGGCGCCGGAGACGCCCTGGGGCGCGCGCCTCACTTCCGGCAGGCGGTGATTGGGTGTGCCGCGCGAGCCCTGCCCTGCCGGCCAATAGGCGGTGCGGAGAGGCAGGGGGCGGGGCGCGGGCGCAGCCCGGACACCGCCCGCGGGCCTGCCCGACTCCCGCCCGGCCGCCGGCGCCATGTGACCGCGCCGCCGCCCTCCGCGCGCCCGGCCCGCCCGCCCGCCGCGCTCCCGCGGCCCGGCGCAGCCCCAGGCCGCCGAGGGACGGCGGGGCCGGCGCCATGGCCGAGCGGGGCCGCCTCGGCCTGCCCGGCGCGCCCGGAGCGCTCAACACCCCGGTGCCCATGAACCTGTTCGCCACCTGGGAGGTGGACGGCTCCAGCCCCAGCTGCGTGCCCAGGTACGCCCCCGCGCCGCGCTTTGTCCGCGCGCACCTGCCCGCGGGCCGGGACCCCGCGCCCCCGCGCCCCCGCGCCCCCGCGGGCCAGAGCACGGCGAGGGCCGGGCCGGGCCGGGCCGGGGCGGGCCGCGGGCCTGTGGCTCGCCGGGGCCAGGGCTCTGCCCGCACCTTGACACCTGCGTCCCGGGCGGGGCTGCGCGCCGCGGACCTCAGGCAGCTCAGGCCGTCGAGCCCGGGGCTAGTGCCACCCCGCTGCTCCCGCGTGCAGCGGCACTGTCACACCCCAGAGGCCTGGGCCTGAGGCTCGCAGGACACGCCACCGCTGCCTCCCCTGTGCCCCGCGGGTCCGGTCTGCTCTTTCTTCACCTGTCGGCCTTGTGCTGGGAGCTGTGGAGTGGGCACCGGAGTCCGTCCTGCGCTTTGCTTGGAGTTGTTCATTTTACCGTTGCAGAAGCCTGGCCTCCCTCCCCTGGGTAGGCGACCTCCCACTGGATCCATGGAAAGGGCTAGATGAGATTTACCCACCGGGCGGTCGCTGTGGCCACCTATCTTTATGTAGACCTGCAGCTTCCCATTCTACTGCCCAGCCCGAAACTTTTGTGATTTCTTCTCGACTTGGATCTTATTCAGGAGCCTCAGCTAGTGAGGGACAAGAGGAACTCGATAGACAGCTCTCCCCTGGGGAGACAGGGAAAGTGTGCTTATCATCAATGAGCCTTCCAGGTACAGAACCTGGACAGTGTGCCTGGGGCGACCAGGAACTTGAGTATGGAGACTCCGGGAGCGGGAGGTACTCACTGCACCGCTTTCAGCAGGCCTCGCTGAGTGTGGTGTTGGGGCGCCCGAGGGCACTGCGCGGTGGCTTTTCCCTTTTGGGTTTTGCCTGTGCCTTTGGGAAAGGAAGGGTGGGTGCTGAACACAATTGCTAGACCTGTGTGGCATCTGGAGAACTGAGACCTGAGGGTCTGTGTGTGTCTCACTGGGAGTGAGTGTCTCCCAAGTCATCAAAGCCGAGAAGGCAGGGGCTGCTGCCTCTTTAGCCTTTGCCCTGAGCACCCTGCTTCACACACTGGCCCCTGTATTCTTTAGCTCCTGAGTTTCTTTAATATTTTCTCTAAAGGTAAACTTTTTTTTTTTTTTTTTTTTTTTTTTGAGACGGGGGGGGGGGGTATACAGTTCTGGATGTCCTGGAACTTACTCTTACACAGATTTGCCTGCCTCTGCCTCCTGAGTGCTTGGATTAAAAGCATGTCCCACCAGCGCCTGGCCAGGTGGACTGTTTTTTTGAGACAGGGGTTTGCTTTAAAGTCAGGGATGGCTTTGAATTTGTTTGCAGCCCAGGGTGGCCTTGAACCTTGAATCTTCCTGTCTCTGCCTGCTGTGTACAGGGATTATAGGCATGCATGCTCCATCATGCCTGCTCTGGTCTCTGTTCTTGCAGAACCTAGAATACCTTCTTTCTATAGGAGAAAGCGGGGTCAGGGAAGGCTTGTTGAGGACAGGCTTGCACACAGGGAAGGATGGGGATCCGGGGTGAGCAGCAGCAGATGCTTTTCTCTGGAGTGGGGAGGGCTTTGGTCATGTGGACCAGATGTTCCGTGTGTAAAAGCATGTACAAAGTTGCCTGTTCCCTGTCCCGTGTCCTTGTCTGGTGCCACACACCCTCTCCTGTGGACACACCCTCAGCCGGCCCGTGTGCAGTCCTGCTGTACTGGGCAGTGTCTGCAAAGAGGATTGCGATAGTGTTTCCTGAGTTCTTTTTACTCCCCTCCCTGACTTAGCTCAAGTCTTTAGTTGTGTGAGCTGCATCCCTGCTGGTGGCTGTCGATGTGTCGCTGGTCTACAGCATTTTCTCGGAGTGGGAGTGACGATGACACCCGGACTTCTGTTAAGGGATGTTGTCAGGTTTCTGTCCAGTTACAAATCTACATTGGCATTACAGAGGAGGTTCTCCTACCTGTCTCCTGTGTGCATGTCGGTCCCTGTGGCCGGCAGCGCTGCCTTGAACGTGTTTCGCCAAGTAGGAGGCTTTAGAGGTGTGGGTGTGTGTTCACTCAGTGTTACTATTCAGTTGCTTCCTAAAGCGGTGGTGCCAGCTCCGGCCCCCAGCTCCAGGGTGAGAATCATCACTGCCTTGCATTCTTGCCAAGCTGGTGGGTGTGAAACAGTGTTGTGGTTTTAGTTTGAATTTCTCTGATTATGAATCTAGACCATTTGTACTTCCTTGTTAGTGAAATTCCTATTCATGTCTTTTGCCAATTTTTCTTTCTCCTTTCTTCCTCCTACTTGAGTCTCAGCAGTTTCTGCAGGGGACGGTAATCTTTTTCCCACCTGGAACTGTTACATGTTACACGTGTCCCTCAGAGTTAGCCTGGAGTGGGGGGGGGGTGGGATGGGGGTGGTCTGTCCCTCTCACTTTGACATTGGTTGAGTTTCAGTTCTCCTTCCCTGGGAGGTGGTGAGACAGCTCTCTGTCCTGGGGGAAGCTGGTACTAGGCATCCTGGGGCTGCTGGGAGGGAGGATCCAACTCCTGATACTCAGTTCTGCTCCGGCCACATTGCCAAGTTCACCGTCCCTCGACAGCCTGGTACACCATGCTGCTAGGGACAGTCAGTGTCCTGCCCTGCCATACTGCTGGGATTCCAGAGTCCTTACCCGTTCCCAGGCGTGTTCTTCGTTCACTGTTCCGTGGGGTCTTTACCACTTTCGACCTTTGTACTTCCACTTGGATTATTTTATTAACTCACGTCTAAGCCTTGTGCACCTGTTTTTTTCATACCTCGCCTGACTTCTAGCCCATGTGTTGGTTGGCGCACTCACTCCAGGAAGGGTATCTGGACAGCAGCTGTCTGTCTGGAGTGTGCACTGTTGTAGATTTGTGTTTGTGGAAGGCACAGACATCTCCATCATTCCAGCAAGGAGTCCCTTCTCTCTCACCCCCAATGCAGCCAGCTCTGCATTTCCAGGCTGCACCATCTCCCTGGAGGGCCATGTGGGTAGAGTGAGGCTGTCTTTGATGCATTGTGCTTTTCTGTCAGCCGACTTTCCTTTTTGTTGTTACGTAATACTCCTTTGTAAGAACGAGCCCCGTTTTAGACATTGGATTCTTTGCAGTTTGAGGCTGTCATTTGGTGATTCTTATCATGGGGCTTCAGTTTAAGGAGCACTCTCCTGGTGGTCCAGGACAGTGTAGTAACTTTTCCTTAGACTCTCCTTGGGAATGGGTGACGTCAAGGGTTTTCCCATGAGCTGTCCCGCGTCTGAAGTGGAGGTTGTCTACTGGTTTTTACTGGGAAGGATTGGATTTCCTCATGGAGTTGAGTCCTTCGTGCAATGGACGTGGGTCCTCTTTGCCAGTGTGATTGCTCTGGATCTGTCACTCTGCATGGGCGTGCTTTGTGATCTCACTGGAGTGTGGTCTCACATGCTGCCCAGACTGGCCTGCAAACACAGGAGCTCAAGATGGCTCAGTGTGTCCAGCTCTAGTATTTTTGGATGAACAGGAGTTTCAATTTTGGCAAAGCCTACTGTGTTAGTTGCTTCTGTGTTCTGACTTACAAATCTCAAGGTTAGCCAGGTGTTGGTGGCTAATGCCTTTAATCCCAGCATTCGGAAGGCAGAGGCAGGGGGAATCTCTAAGTTCTAGGCCAGCCTGGTCTACAGAGTGCCAGGACCGTTTCCGGAACAATACAGAGAAACCCTGTATCAAAAAAACTAAAAAACACAAAGGAAGAAAGACAGACAGACAGACAGAAATCTCAAGGTTACGAAAGTGCTTTATGTCTGGCCTTGCTCCTGACTGGGTTAACTGTGACTATGATGACAGAAAGGCTTTGAAATGCCTCTGTAGTCTCCGGAGCTGCATGTGGTTGTCAGAGAATGGCCCAAACTTCTTCTCGGGCATGTGTCTTGCATTGGCTGAGGTTCCTGATGCATCTTGAGGAATGTGTGGGCTCTGCTGACAAGTCATATGTGTCTGTGTCAGACTCATTCCTCAGTGTTCATGTTGTGGACTTCACAGTGGAAGTCACTTTTTATTGCTCCAGTTTAAGGTGAGGGAACAATCTTCCACTCTCCCAGTGGCCCTGGACAGTGTGATAACTTTTCCTTAGACTCTTGTTGGGGATGGGTGGTGTTGACAACCTTCCCATGAGCTGTGTATCTGGCATCCAACTTAAATGGATTGGTCTGGGACCTAAACTGGCATTTAAATATTTTTTTTTTGTGTGGTGGGGGAGGGGTTTTTGAGACAGGGTTTCTCTGTGTAGCTTTGGAGACTCTCCTACCACTCACTTTGTAGACCATGCTGGCCTGGAACTCAGAGAAATCCCCCTGCCTCTGCCTCTGAAGTGCTGGGATTAAAGGTGTGCACCACCACTGCCTGGCTATTTGTTTTTTAAGACAGGGTTTCACTATCTAGCCCTGGCTGTCCTTGAACTCAGAGATCTACCTGCCTCTACCTCCTGAGTGCTGGGATCAAAGGCGTTTGCCACCACTGCCAGGCTTCAGGGTCTTTCTGTGTAGCTCAGGCTGGATTCCAACCTAAGTGTTGGGATTGTGAAAATGAGCCGCAGTACCCATTGTGATCACCGTGAGGGTGTTGTCTACTACAGTCTTTGAAGGGACAGCTGGGAAAGTTAAGTCTCATTCTGTCATGGGTGAACATGACTTTTCAAAACGTTAACATTTGTGGGGAGGTTGAGATGGTTCGGTGGTAGTTGGGATGGTGAGAGGTGAGATGGTTCCGTGGGTAAAGTGTCACACTTAGGTGACCTGAGTTCCGTCTCCCGGGCACACGTTGTGTAAAGAGTAACCCACTCCACAAGTTGTCCTCTTCCAAGTGTGCACTGTGGCACATGCCCCCATAAATAAACTTGTCTTTGCCAGCTCCCTTGAGTACTTTACCTCTCTACCGCACTGCCTGCCTTCTTCTCATCTCTGGTTTGTAATGGGCTTTGGGTTGGATCCTGGGCCTCACTCACCCTCAGCTGGCATCTGC